GTGTAAGCAGGGGCAGAAATTGATCGTTGTTGTTCTGCACTTGAAGAGGGGAGGGTCAGCGCCGGCTGCATCTCCCAAGTTACCGCCAGGTTCTGTAGCTAAGCCCCCAGTTGCACCAAATCCAAAATCTCCAGCGCCAGGGGTGTCCCCTGTTTCACATTCCCCTGGGGCAAACCCACCTAAGACATCTCCAGCTCCAGTGGGGTCCCCTGTTTCTCATTCTCCGGGGGCCAAACCACCAACTACCTTCTCCCCAGGACCGTCAGGCTCATCGGGAGTATTTCCAGCGCCAGGGGTGTCCCCGGTTTCACATTCCCCTGGGGCAAACCCACCTTCTAAGGCATCTCCAGCTCCAGTGGGGTCCCCTGTTTCTCATTCTCCGGGGGCCAAACCACCCTCTACATTCTCCCCAGGACCGTCAGGTTCACCGGGAGTATTTCCAGCGCCAGGGGTGTCCCCTGTTTCTCATTCCCCAGGGGCGAACCCACCTTCAACATCATCTACAGTGCCGGTCGGGTCCCCTTCTTCTCATTATCCGGTGGCCAAACCTCCGTCTGCATACTCCCCAGGACCGTCAGGTTCCCCAGGAACATTTCCAGCACCAGGCATCTCCCCAGCATCTCATTCCCCTGTGGCCAAACCACCTTCTACGTCATCTTCAGGGCCAGTGGGGTCCCCTTCTAATTCTCCGGTAGCCAAACCTCCGTCTACATCATCCTTAGCACCTTCAGGTTCCCCAGGAACATCTCCGTCCTCTTTAGCACCAGCAATGTCACCAGGGTCCCTGTCTCAGCCTCCTCTGGCTCAAACCCCTGGGGCTTCAACCTCACCACCGGCATTGACTCCTGGTTCATCTCTGTCTCCAGCTGCAAACTCTCCTGAAGGGTCTACTTCCGTGCCAGCATCTTCACCATCAGGAAGTTCTGTTCAGGGTCCATCTCCGGCAGGGTCTTCCCTTCCGCCTTCCCAGGAAGGCTCTCCTGCACCAGCTACTGCACCAGAAGGATCTCAGTCGCCATCAGGGAGTGTCAGTGGTACTCCGGCAAATGAGGTGTCGCCCTCTCCCCCACCGATCAAGTCATCAACAACCGTAACTCAATCAAGCTGGATAGCATTAGCAGTTGGTATTATCCTCAGTTTAATGTTGAGAATATAGCTTAATTTAGTTTATGGGTGATTTTAGAAACATTGAATAATAAGTTTATCATGTTACATATTTTGATATTAATTTAGAGTAATAATTTTTTTTATTTTCTTATGTTTTTTAAATGAAAATAATGTTGGTTTATGAGAAACTTCCCTTAATTTTTATGTTCACTTTTTTTTTCTCAGCCATTGAATTGATGTCAGAATTCATTTATTTTAAAATTTTCAAAGCATTTAATTGGTTTCCACCCAAAAAAAAAAAATTTTTATTGGTTTATGCAATGAGGTAAAAATCTCTGCAGGGTGATAATTCATCATCCTTCAGTTCAGTCTGCAATTGTGCCGTTAAATTTTGTCGGCACATATAAAGAGATTAAATATCCTACCTCCACTCTACTTGAATCGTCGTTTTAATTTTCTGTACCAAATGTTTCCATTTACCTCTATCTCACAATGTCTCTTATTTTTTAACCACCACACTCATAAAAGGAATGTATTTCAAATTCTCTTTAGGTATTTATATTATATTTTTTATATTAATTTATATAAAAAA